CAGCAGCAGCAGCAGCAGCAGCAGCAGCAGCAGCAGCAGCAGCAGCAGCAGCAGCAGCAGCAGCAGCAGCAGCAGCAGCAGCAGCAGCAGCAGCAGCAGCAGCAGCAGCAGCAGCAGCAGCAGCAGCAGCAGCAGCAGCAGCAGCAAGAGGCAGAACTATTAAAGTTCCAAGGAATTGGTATGGAATACCTTCAACTTGCCGACGCCATAACATGGCAGTCTACGAGAATTCTCTGACTCACGTCTGAGCAAACATGTCAGAGCTCTTCTGCCCTCCTCGCCCGTTTCTCACATAGAGCTCTTGACAAGGTAATGGTGATTTCCATCACAGTCCGCGATATATCCGTAAGCAAACCCTCCACGGGCGCAGGGGACAAGGACTACCTGAGGAGAGAAAGTATGCAATACAATCATGGCAAAGTGAAAACATGTAGACAGCCATTGACAAGTCACAACATGCAGACAAGGTGAAAAATACGGCGATCGAACCTCCAACTTGTCAAACTTGGAGGAAAGACCAAAGATCACGGATCTGCGCAACACAGATGTTCAGTGATGTGTGGAAACGAGAAACGAGATCGATATCAACCTGAGATCCTCTTGAGTTGGCTCCTTCCCAATCGCGCGAATGTTGTTGATTTCTTCGCTCCTTTTTGCACAAATTCCTGACAAACTCTTCCCCAACATCGGTTCTGGTACAGGTTTGACCGCCCCAGCTCCTATACATCCTTCAGTTCCAGTTCTGCCCACGCATCCACCACCACCACCTCCTCCTCCTCCTCCTCCTCCTCCTCCTTCTCCTCCTCCTCCTCCTCCACATAACGTCATCGTCATCGTCATCGTCGTCGTCGTCATCATCATCACCAGAGGCGGTGGTTGTTTCATCATTGCAAACAGACACAGCAACAACACAATCATCACCATCTCGTTCGTATCTTCCTCCGCACTTCAACACCATCAGCACATTGATGATCTACCTAGCTCAACATTCCAGAAAACCCGTTTCTTCGCATCTGTCTTTCTGCTCTCCAATACTCCAAAGCACAGCCCTCCCTTGGACCTGTTTGCACGCACGTTTGAACTTCGTTGTCTCCTCCGAATGCAACATTGCGTCACCTTGGAACAAGGACAAGATCACCAGCGTCGAAAGTGATTTTGTAGTCAACCCCGAATGAGAAGACAACCTGCGAATATTCACATCACGAGTCAACTCTTGTGATGTGATGAAAAAATGTTGACAAGTGGGAATGATTAGATGTAAAAATATTGAAAACTAGCGATGATGAGATTTAAGAACAATGAAGGTAACAATGGGAAGTATGAAGAACAAAATTGCGGAGATGCACTCATGACTTCATGAAAAGCTCGCAAGAGAACAAACAACGAAAAGTCACGAATCGCAATCTTGTCATCGACCAAATCGAGCTCTTCCCATGCAGAATTACAGTTCAAACACAAACTCACCATCTGGCACTGCCCAGGAGTCGGAGACGACCCAACCAGTCGAGCCTCGTTGTCACTCAGCACGTTTCCTGCAGAACATCTCGCGATGAGGACCAACTTTCGTGCGAGGAGGCGAATGTACCAGACAGCTCTCCCCGGAAAAGTTTCCTCTCCTCCTCCTTCTCTGCTCCTGCCTCCTCCCCCTCTCGCTCCCCCTCTTGATCCTCCTCCTCTCCTTCTCGCCCCTCCTCCGCCTCCGCCTCTCTTGCTCTTACGTTCTGTACACCGACCAGCGCTCCCTCCCTCTCAACTTCCTTCACTTCCCTCCTTATGATCGTTTTCTTGATCTCATCGGCACGTCGAGAAGTATGCGAAGCAGCAACCTGCCCCATCACGTTCTCTCTCATTTGATTGTAAGAAATCTCAACAACCCAAGTCAGTCACATCTCCATGTTTGCAAAGAACAAAATTCTCACAATCCTTGGAGCATTCGTCGATTTGTTTGCATTCAGCCGCTCTTTCTCTAGCAGATCGGAAGCTTTGTTCTCGTGCAACGGGGCCTTCAACAAGGCAGTCAAGGTGGAAACTTGCACAATCTGATTTCAACAAGACAATCTGAACAAGAATGAAGAGAGACGGATCAAGGTCGTATGGTTAGAAACGTTTCACCTTGTTCGCTGTTGGTTTTGGAGCATCCAACTCACGTTTGAGGACTTCGAAAGACGACACGTTCTTCGAAACGTCCTTGCTTCCCCCAGACTGCAGGATAGCAGGCACGTTATGACATCTTCTATCCTCCTCCTCTCCTTTTGCTACCGCATCGGCGCTGCTTATATCTTGCCTCGTCTCCTTCATGCTCTCGAACCACTCCTTGGAGCCGACGAGAAACGTTTTCTCTGCTAGAAAGAACTCTTCCTGTCAACATCTTGCAACGCAACAACATCATTCACCTTCCCCCTGCTGTCGCGCTGGCGCAGTCGACGAGTCAACTGAGGCGTGCTGCACAGCTCCGGCCTACCTCAACACGTCAGCGATCCCTCATGCTCGTCACGCCTTGTCCCAGCAACCTGCTGAGCTGCAGCAGGAGCATGTCCAACTTCATCCTTCTTCTCTGTGAGCAGCAGAAATGAGAGCAGTAGGCAGCAGCAAACATCAGACTTGATCGGAACGGAAGGTACTTCTGTGAGAAGAGAGATGGGCTCAGGATTGATGGGAGCTCCACCCTGTCCATCAAAGTCACTGCTCTCCACACTACCATTCTGCACCCACTTTGGTTTCGAACTCTCTGAAACTTGCTCAGGAACTTTCGAATCAGCTTCAGAACTTTCGGGCTGGTCTTCCAAAATCGCCGGAGGACGGGTCCCTGCATCCTTGAACGGAACTGAAGCTGATTGAACGCATGTCAGAACGAGATGAAGAACAAACAAACAAACAAACACGTCAGCACCTGGCTGTGTGCTCTTCCTGTTCGTTGATATCCATCGCAAGTTTACCAGCTCTCAGCGAAACAACAACACGTAGAGCATACAATCAACGAGATCTTACCGCCCTGCCTCGAAAGCTTCACTTGATCCTGCAGACGTTGTCATGCAAACACAATCACGACTAGCATATTATCCGTTCACCCCCGTCATCGATGTCCAGAAGGTCATCAAAAGCATTCTCGTCAAGCTCGTCGCCGAGCTAAGAAAGAGTTAGGAGGGACAGACAAGCGAAGCTAATGGCTTCTTGGGGAAGTGTTGATGCGGATTAGGGAGGCTGATGAGGAAGGGCAGGAGCAGGAGCAGGAGCAGGAGCAGGAGCAGGAGCAGGAGCAGGAGCAGGAGCAGAAGCAAGCAAGAGCAGGAGCAGCAAGGAGCAGGAGCAGAAGCAAGCAGGAGCAGGAGCAGCAAGGAGCAGGAGCAGGAGCAGGAGCAGGAGCAGAAGCAGAAGCAGGAGCAGGAGCAGAAGCAAGCAGGAGCAGGAGCAGGAGCAGGAGCAGGAGCAGGAGCAGGGAGAGAAGACGCAGGAGCATCTGCGCATGCTACATGTGATGCAAGGACCTGCGACAGCATCGCCATTCAGCCCCCGACCAGCCCGCCTCATTGAGAATGAGGGTGATGAAATGGGATTGAGTGGGGAGGAGGGTTAAAAAGGTAGGGGGAGGAGGGGTCACATCTCTATGGTTTTGTTGCGTCATCGGGCAGATGGAGGAGCAGGAGACGGAGCAGGAGCAGGAGCAGGAGACGGAGCAGGAGCAGGAGCAGGAGCAGGAGCAGGAGCAGGGGCAGGAGCAGGAGTAGGGTTAGGGGCAGGGGCAGGGGCAGGGGCAGGGGCAGGGGCAGCAGGAGCAGCAGGAGCAGGAGCAAGCAGGCAGGAAGGAAGACAGGCAGGAGGTCAGGGAAGAGGAAAGGGAAGAGGAACGTTAGGAGGAGGAAAGGAATGAGATAAAGATAGGACTGGTGCAGAAGTTTACCAGGGCGTCACGACATGAAAGGCGGACGTGTCGAGAGGAAACAAAAATCTTTAGAGCTGGAACGCTGACAAGTTCCTACCAGTTGACAGCTGTGACTTCAAGTGGCGACCATGCGTTCTCTCATGCACACCTTGGTGTTTGCTGCATGGCTGGTGAGCGCCTGGGCTGCGTCCACGAATGCGTACAAAGCATGGAGCTCCGGTCAGCTGCATGAAGGAGAGAGGAGAGAATCTCTGCTGAGCTCAGGTAAGCTGAACAGCGAGGGTGCAGGGTGTAGGGAGAGGGGCGGAAGATCGTTGAGTCGAGCTCCTTTCCTTTCACCCCTTGCTGTTTTATTGTCGGGAATGAGAGGAAGGTGAAGGTAGTGACAAGAGGCAGAGAAGTGAATGGCAAGATGGATGAGTTGTTATGCCTGGAATGTGCAAACAGACACATGTTTACTAGTTGCCAACCTTGACCTTCCCTTCACCCACCTTTGCTTGCGGACATCTCTTACAGCGCTTGGTGCTGTGCCATGTATGTGACAGCAGGTACTGATCAGGATCAATGGTACCGGAACCAAAGGGGAGGGTTCATATCGGTACCCATGAGTACTATACGGACAGGCACGGAGTGAGAAAGATCGACAAGGTGGAAGATCAACTTTCTCTTCCTCTACTCCCTCCCTCCCTCCCTCCCTCCCTCCCTCCCTCCTCCCTC